ACAAGGTGGCCCTCACTGTTCACAAATAGGGCTGAGTGACCATTTTGGCTATACTGTATGTGCACACACACACACACACACACACACTCTTACACACCCTCTCTATCACTTACCTACCTTGTATTCTTAATTCCTAATCACCTTCCACACAAAACTATAACAAATCTTTTCATGATATCTTTACAGAGGAAGCAAACATCTATCTTCCTACCAACTAAGTACTTCCTCCCTGTTTCAAGCAAAGACTATGTGAGGTTTCCAGAATTTCCAGAAGAAAGTGAGAGAACAGCCACATAGGGGAAGAGCATGAGCAAGGTCACTGAGACAGAAGTATACATGATTATTTGGAGAACTGCAAATTGTCTCATTTGGCTGGGGTATGGAAGAATAGTAGGCAATAAAGTTAGGAGCACAGGTTGGGGGCCTAGATAAAAGGTTTGTATGCCAACATGAGAACCTTGTACTCAATTCTTTTGGGCAGAAGGGAGCTATTGAAGACTTTGGGTCAGGGTAGTAACTGATTAGACCTGGATCTAAGAGGCTTACTCTCACAGGTGTTAATGGAAAGAATGAAGAGGAGAGAGGCTACAAGCAGAAAGAAATTTTGGACACGTTGGGCTTAACATGTCTCTGGACACTCCAAATAAAAGTGTTCATTAAAACTTCAGGAGGAAGATATGGTTAAGGTGTTTGTAGCCTGTTTCTCCATCTATAAAACAGGGACAAGAATGCTTACTTTGAGGATTGTTTGGGGGAATCAGAAAGAATTCTTATAAGCACTTATCACAGTGCCTCACTCCCAATGAGCATGTGAGAGAGATTTAGTGATGGTGGTTGTGGCAGTAATTACCAGAGATAGTTGAAAGTTCTTCCCTGTAGCCCTTTTGTTCTCCCCAGAATTCTGCCATGAGTTCAGGAAACAAAACCATGCGACAAACCCCTGCTGTAGCTAGAATTGCCCTTCTACTAAGATAACCAAGCCTGTATATTAGGACACACAGTTACACTGGCTCCTTTCCCCCTAAGGTAACCATTCTCCTGGAGAACCTGTAGCCCCTGCTCAATAGAGCTCTATTGAATGTCTCTTTGTTTTCTCTTCTGTGTACAGACACAGCAGCTCAGATAAGTTATAACCTGGGATGGATACATGAATGGAGCTAAAAACATGTAAAATGCTATTCATTGTTTAGGGATATATGGAGAATATAAATATTTGTTAAAAAAATATACACACAAAAATTTATATACCCATGTTCTTACACACACACACACACACACACACACACCATGTGCTCGTGCGCACGCACATGCACACATACACACACTAAATGAACATTTAAAGCACTGAATTCAGGGAACTGGCTACTTCCTAAAAGAAGGGTAGAAAGGGGAATACAAATAAAAGAGATATCTAGAGGATTTTAACTATATCTGCAATGCTTTATATCTTGTTTAGCCGGATCTTAGATGGGTAGGTTTGTATTATATTATTCTCTACATAGCTTCCATATAGGAAGTAATTTACTTAAATAAGTATATAGAGTGAAGAAGGTACAATCTCTATTTTTAGAAATGGTGAGCTTGAGCTGAAATTTGGGCTTTCACGAAAAGGGAAACCAGTGTGGAGAAAGTCCTTTGCAGCCTGCATTTGATCCAGCCAGTGGACAGACTGCCAGCTTTCATGCACCAGAGTAGGGATTTCCCCCAGAAGAGCTGGGTAGTGGAAGAGAGAGATCCTCAAGCACTTCCCTAGAGGACACCCTTCACAGAAAAAGTGACACTGAAGTAGCATCAGCAGAGAAAAAGCTAGTGGAACAGATGTGTTGCTGAAAGAAAAACATGGGAAATGCAATTCCTTAGATTCCTGGGGAGAAAGAAGCACAGATGATGAAGTAATTGCCTGTGAGTGTCTGCAGTCAAGAAAATTTAAAAGTGAAGACAGTTTGACTTGTCCAGAGAAATATTTGTATCGACTTGAGCAAGAACAAATTTAGCAGTACAAAAAGCTATGAAGAAACTTCCACTTCCAGACATGAACATTGACTGGAACAAGATTTGCCCTCTCACCAGTAAACAACTAGGAAATTGGGTAAAATGTACCAAACCATTGTTTTCATTGGACAACACACAGTGCAGGATTGTGATCCCTGAAAGAAGAGAAGCAAATGAAGTGATCCCTACAATATTCCTGGCTCTCTGCCTGGAGGCACTTTCCAGACCATAAGGAAGGGAATCCAAGTAGACAACAACAGTCTTGCTAAGTTGAGAAGGAAAATATCAGAGTTTGGGAAACTGAGGTAGCTGAAATTTGTGAGGCAGGGTCCCCCAAAAAGGAGGTATTCAGAGAAAGAGCTCCAAAAATCTGAGTCTCCATGAATCTTAGGCTAAATACTAAGATCAGTGAGCTTCATCAGGTACATATCCATAAGAATGGGCAAAGAAAACTCTGAGGAAACTGCAAGCTAAACCATTTTCTGAGCTCCGCAGGATTGGGAAGCACTCAAGTTCTAATCAGGCTGCATGGAGAGACCTGATGAACCCTTGTGGCATTCAGAAGAGACCCTGCCCTGGATTTGACCCCCAGCAGCACTTAAAAAAAATCCATCAATAGAAACAGACCCCCCACATAATAGCAATTATGCAATGAAGTGGCAAGAATTATAATAATGCTATTATAAATATGCTCAATGTAAAGGAAAATATACAAGTAATGAAGAATAAATAAATAAGAAACTATAAAAATGGCATATCTAGAATTGAGAAGTACAATATCTGAAATGAAAAATTCACTGAGTAAACTTAACAGCAGCTTGAACAATGAAAAAGAAAAGATCAGTGGACTTGAAAATATAGCAACAGACACTAGCCATATTATGAAGAGGAGGAAGACTGGAAAAAAAATTAACAGGTTCTCAGTGACACCCATTTTTAGTGTAATTAAAATCCAAAAGAAGGGTGGGGAGAGCAGAAGAAATAATGGCAAAACATTTTCTAAACTTGATGAAAATGATAAACTCATAATTTTGAGAAATCCCACAAACCTCGCATAGGATAAAAATTGAGATAGAAAGTGCATTCTGAATTTTTTTCAATATTAGAGTGATTTTATGAATGGACTGTACCTAAAGGTTATAGTCCAGGCTGGGTGCGGTGGTACAGGCCTGTAATCGCAGTCAGGAGGCTGGGGGAGGAGGATCATGAGTTCAAAACCAGCCTCAGCAACGTAGCAAGGCCCTAAGCAATTCAGTGATCCTGTATTTCTAATTAAATATAAAAAAGGACTGGAGATGTGGCTCAGTGATTGAGAGCCCCTGGGTTCAATTTCCAGTACTAAAAAAAAAAAAAAATTGATAGCCCAGGAAGACAAGGGAAAGTTCTGTAAAATGCAGGGAACTGTACATCTTGTGGTGTAGAAAAGTAGAAGGCAGCTTTGGGAGCACAAAATGGGAAAGATAATAAAGGAGAAGAGGTGGACCATGTAGAGGAACCCACTACTGGAAGGTATAAATTACATAATAAGTAGAGAAACTCATGGGAATAAAAGGGTGGAGTGGCATCTCCAGTTTTTATCCTTTCCCTTTGTCCTCTTGTCCCCATACTTCATTTTGAACAACAGACATCTCACAATTGACCTTGAAGCTTCTATCTTTTTCTTATACAACCTATCCTGCAGTTCACTGACAGCATAGTGAGCTTTCTCAACCAGAAGAATCACATCTGTCAAACATCTTTAGAGAGATTGATACCCTCAGAAGCCCCTACATAAGGCGGCCACAGAGGTAGACAGACCATACCTCTCCACTATTAAGTGTATCAGTTTGGCCCGTGGCTTCTCCAAGCTTCCTATCTTTAGAGCTTTGTGCTATTCCCAGCTTTATTTTTCTTCTATTTAAACCAAGATCTCTTTCTGTCTCTGAATCACAACCTCCAGAGTTGGTTTATGCTTCATTTGCATCCTTTTGCTACTAAGTACACCCATGCCTGTCCTCTCTGCCTCTTACTTGCCTGGAGTTCTGCTTTGTTACTTACGTTGGCTCTGAACTGCCGTTTATAGACCTTGAACTTGGGAGGCCACAAGAATGTCTCCCTGTAGCCAGAGAGAGCTCCTTCCTTGAGAAGCAATGAGGCATTGAGGAAGGCATGCTGGACTTAGAATTAGGCCTGAATCACAGCTGTGATTCTGCTATAGACAGTCTAGGACTATGTTGTTCCATACTGTAGCCACTAACAAAATGTGACTGATGACCATGTGAAATGTGTGGTTGAAGAACGGAATTTTAAATTTTAACTAAATGTAATTAATCTTAATTTTGATTTAGCACATGCAATACTGTAAGTCATTTTTCCATTAAACATTGTAGAAAATATTGCTATATTGTAATGCATGTGTTGGGTACATGCATAATTTCTAGTATACACAAAAGCAAACTTCTAGTTGACATTAGTAGATTGATTGAATTATTTTTTTATACATCAATTTAACATTGTTTATTTGAATATTTTATGCAGACAAGGCAAGTTATAGTGATATCTACGAAAGTCGAAACTTGGAAATACTTATTTTAATTTTAAATGATATAATAAATTATATTCTAGCTTTAAAAATAAGTATGGAAAAAATTTAATACTTAAATGAAATTCTACTACTACAAAATTGAGTAGAGGTACAGAAACTATGAAGTAGTAAGATAGGAACAGTGGAGACAAGACACTGAAAGAGAACAAGTCACAAATTACACAATGAATGCTGCTGTGATTTGAATGTCCCCTACACAATCATGTTAAAATTTAATTGCTACTGTCATAGTGGGAGATGGGACTCTTAACATTATCACAGGAGTGGGTTAATTATCCTGGGAGTGCCTTTATATAAAAGTAAGCATTCTCTCTCTCTCTCTCT